TTCCCTCTTAAGGCACTTCTGAAGAGTAGAATTTGGAACTGTAAGGGGAAACATGAGCGTGCTGGGAGTGTGATCAGGAATTGCTCAAAATTGTGCACATAATACTTTGAAAGACTTTGTCAGATAGAGGTAAGAAGAGTATGTTTGCCACAGTAGTTCACTGAAGTTCTGAGAAGGGAAATAAAGTTTTCATATCTTTATTGTACCGCCCTTATCTTTATAAAGCAAACCTACATAGATCTTGCTTTTGAAGGGCCTTGGCAATGATATTTTTCTGTTAATTCTAAATCAAAGCAGACTGGCAAAACCTGATCACAAAACCCACTAGGCAGGGTTTGTTTAAAACTGCTTGATATTGGTATCAGTTTATTGCCTGTGGATTTGTTCCTCAATTAATAGTGCACGTGATGGCAGGAGCTAATGCAGTACAAATAACATTGGAGTGGCTTTATTAGATAAAAACGTGATATACATGTATGTAAAGATGGAATTGTTTGAGCCAAACTTGACAGCCAGCAGGTACAGGCTGCATCGGGCTCTCAGGGCAGGAGCCATGTTCTTCAGTCAAGAACTTGTGCTGAAAATTTTGTCACAAGCTCCAGGCTGCAACTTGCAGGCATAAGCTCAAGTCCTTAGATCATTCTATCCATTCAAAAAGGGGAAGGCCATTTGAGTTAGCTGGGTCCAATCTGTAAAATGTTCTGAGTAAGCGGATATGTGCATGATACTTAATAGGAGTCAGTTTTACTAACAGAATGGTAGCTAAATCAAAACTAAGGCAATTTTGTAGGATACTTTTGTTCCTTAGTATTTGAACAAAAAAGCTGCCGTTGATTTTTCTTTGTAAGATTCAAGTAGGCTTCCTACCTCACTTAGATAATGTTGAAGCTACCTGATAAAGTTTAGTTTCCGAATGATTATATTAAAAAGTGCTTAGTGCTTCTAAGAACCTGTGAGGGAGCTGTTATAAAGTGAGATATGTAATCTGGGTGAAATGGTCAAACCTGGCAAGACACTTAACTCTTCACCTGAAATAATTTTCTTAATGCTTACAGGTACTCACTTTCACTAAAAGATTTCTTGATTTAACTTAAAGCTCTTGACTGAGTATCCTTTTGCTTCAGTTGTAAATAAGTTGCGCTTCAGTTGCACTGAAGCTAACAAGGTTGTACTGGTTTAAAACTGCTTTAAGTAAGATCAGAGTTAAGACAGTAATGAGTCTCTTGAGACTGAAACTGTGCTAACCTCTAGACACCTTGGAGCTATGATGCTAGAGACATCTCTTAAGAGGTCAGGACTGACTTCTCAAAGGGCACCTGTTTCCACTGTGGACTTGAAAACCTGAGCAGATTACAGGGAAAGGTTGTGAACTCTGGGGCACAGCTGCTACTGTTGCTTAAATGGAGACTTCTTCCTAAGTAGCAGTTGACTGCAGCTGCTATTTTTCAATATAACTACACAAGTTCAGACTTACTTTAGATGGCCTAAAAGACTGAAGAGCCTGAGTGTGAAAGTAGATTGCTTGATATTTTTAAGGTTGAACTGCTTATGTATGGTTACTGGCTCCAATATTGATACCTGTGGCAAAGGTGATAATGTCCTTAATACTTCTAATTTTGCCTTCCTTTACATTCTCCAGAGAAGAAGTAAATGACAAATTACGAGACATGCCAGATGGAACATTCCTGGTGCGTGATGCATCAACCAAGATGCAGGGAGACTACACTCTGACATTACGGTAAGCGTTGAGCAGTTGTAGTCCACATAGTAAAACCCTGAGTAGCTAGTTGCTATACCAGTGACAGCAGTGGCTGTGTAAAGCTGACGTGGCTCAAGTTGAGAGATGTTCCCAAAGGTACTGCAGATCACAGAATGAGCAAATATACAGGTCTGATAGTTGGCTCTGTTCTGTGCAATCCTGTCCCTTACTAAACACTACTGTACGGATCTCTGTGTAGATTAGCTGGCACTTGGGGAGGAGAGCCATTCAGTAGTGATTCATAGTTTCAGAACTGCTAAGGTAAAAGGTATTTATGAACTAGAGTTTTGATTAATGGGAGTGTATTGAATATATCATCAGCATGCAGCTCTGGAGAATCGAACACAGTGTCTTTGTAAAAAGGCTATCTTGTGCCTTCTGATCTAAAGTTTAGGAAATATTGAGTTCCTTCATTAAAATTTTCTGCAAATGGCAGACTTCCCAGAGTTGCCCCAGCCCTGTCTACTGCAGTTAGGCAGCAGATCTCATGTGACTAGCTGCTGGTGCCTTGCCCAGCTTGTCCAGTTGCTTGCCTCTGCCAGGCTCCCAAGATTGGTTGTTAGAGGCAAATGGGTGAGGTGCAAAAGCTGCTGCCTCTGTAGCACACCTTTGGGAGGTACTGTGATATGGCAGATATTTGATCTTTCCGTGAAATGCCATTGTCTTAATGGGAGCTTTGACCCCAAGGGTATAGTTTAAATTCTGCTTTGACTTCTGCCTTCAAGTTCACAGCTTGTGCCCTAAGGTTTGGCATGATTTGGTTATTTTACTGAATGCAGATATCTTTAGGAACCAAAATGGAGAGTGCAGGAAGGACAGGATATTGCCTAAACAGTCTGTTGGTGAAAAAAGGAATAAATAAGCACTATATTTGTGGAAACTGCTAGAATGTATAAATCTGGGTAAAGTCCTAAACTTACAACAGTCTTATAATCCTCAAAGGGTTTTGTTTAAGTTCATGTATCCTGTATTAGTATCCATAACTCAAAAGACTTGTTAATCACTGCATAAATGTATACTCAGTTGTATACTATTAGTGACCCCAAATTGCAGGAAATTGTGGGTTTGGGTTTTCATGTGGCTCCTTTACTCAGCCTTCAGCATCCTCTTTTTCCTTTGCAAAACTTCTGGCAAAGCTAGGTCTTGAATACCATAAACTGGCTCCATAATGAATGCATAGGAAGAGATTTACTTCGGGCTTTGCTCCTGTTCAAATAATATCTGATGATAAATCTGTGTGTATTGACTCTTAAACTCCCTAATATCTGCTAGTATGTAAAGAATCACTATGAAGGTGTACAGTATCTAAGCCACTTGCCCAGGAATTTCACTGGTGTCTTTGTTAGCAGCTTTAGTGTTGAAGAGGGATAGGAGGTTTACAGTAAAACCTCTAAATGACTGTCCTGCTTTACAGGAAGGGTGGCAACAATAAGTTGATAAAGATCTATCATCGGGATGGAAAATATGGCTTTTCCGATCCGCTGACATTTAACTCAGTTGTGGAACTGATTAACCACTACCGCAATGAGTCTCTTGCTCAGTATAACCCGAAGCTTGATGTCAAGTTGATGTATCCAGTGTCCCGGTACCAGCAGGTAAGATCTTCGTTGGAGCCCAACAGCTACTAGTGCAGACAAGAAAAAAATTGCAAATGTGTATATAATTTTGTTTTTTCTGTGAAGCCTGATTTAAAAAAAAAAAAAAGAAAAAACAGAAAGGTGAGTTTTCACATTTGACCTTACTTTGCTTGTAATAGTGGGTCTTCCAAATTGTCTAGCTATTTAAGGTTCTTCATTTTATCAAGTTTCCAGTCTCCCTCTGAGCAGTCCAATACAGAATTGAAACTCTGACATGCAGCAGACTTGAACCTCTGAGAACCTTTTTTTTGAACCTTTTTTTTTCCCCGTGCACTCACAGGGCACTGTTCTAGACAGTGTTGCTCTTGAAGCACCTATGAGCCATGCAGCTGCTCATCTGTGCACAGCCATCTAAATTTTTCAATAATATTTTTTAAAGTTTTATTCAGTAGCCTGAGACATTGTCCTGCATTAAGGAAAAAGAACTGCAGAGCTTCTTGGAAAAAAAAATACTCTGACCTTTAACTTCAGACTCCAAGCAATTAAATTCCTCTTTTCCTCAATAGGAGAAAACAATCCTAGACCTAAGCTGTTGTGTGTTTTTAGAAGCTTAGTATTTTGGTGTAGTTCTTGGTGTCCCATAGTTCCAGTTCCTACTGTCTGTAAACTGTGGAACTTCTTGCATGGAAGAAGGGGGATTTAGATATGGTATTTGTGTTCTGTAGAAACCTGATTATGAAAATGATTCTAATAGCTGTAAAATGCAAATGTGCATAAGTGGACAAATGAACACTAAGGAAAAGCTGCTTTGCTTGAAGACTTAATAGCTTTTTGTATGTACAGGATCAGTTGGTGAAAGAAGATAATATAGATGCAGTAGGTAAAAAGCTTCAAGAATACCATGCTCAGTATCAGGAAAAGAGTAAAGAGTACGACAAATTGTATGAAGAATATACCAGAACATCACAGGTTGGTTCTACTTCAGCTATCTGTAGGGTCTGTTTCTTGTTGTTTAAAGCAAACTATTTTAACATGTTATGGCTAATAAAGGCAGTCTGAGGTCAGAAAATACAAGGAAAAAAATTAGTAAATTGTGGAGTAGAGCAAATTGGTTTAAAAGTGGATGAAAACAGCAAATATTACTCATTGCTGATAGTCCTAAAGGTATGGTGTGGCGTGAGGAAGAAAGAGGAGCTGAGCTTCCTGGTATAAGGTAGAGCGGTGGAGAAGGCCATCACCTACAAGCTTTGCACTGCAGACTTCTTCCTCGGCTGTTGAGTATTTCCAGCTGCTGTATGCTGCAGTGAGAATTGTAGAAGGGTTTGTCCATGTTTTTTATGAAGTCATGTTCAAATCACATACCAGATATTTTGCATTAAGGAAGTGTGAATACAGTATTTGGATTGCTTCGTGTAAAGTAAGATAGTTCATACATGGGGAGGAGGTTTGCTGGCAGTTTTCCTGCAAACTAAGATGGAAAATATGACTAAAATACTGAGGGGTTTGCAGCCTAATAGAGAGCATCATGTGGGGGGAGATGGGTAGACTTACAGGGAGCAGGTCTTCCCTGTACTTCCCCAACTCTGACATTTGACTAAATTTAAAACTGATTAATCACGTTTTGACTTGTGGGGGGAGAAAAGTTCATCTTCTCAGTCAATTTAGGGAACATAATAGAGTCTTACATTGTCATCTGTATCATGAACAAATGATGAAGGACTCTTTCTTCACATAGGAAATTCAGATGAAGAGGACCGCAATTGAAGCATTTAATGAAACTATTAAGATATTTGAGGAACAGTGCCACTCACAAGAACGATACAGCAAAGAATACATTGAGCGATTTCGCAGGGAGGGGAATGACAAAGAAATTGAACGGTAGGCTCTCAAGTTGTGTTTCCTTACAAGGAAGAACTAGCATCCACATTGACGCTCCCATGAAATTCTTTTATGTAATATTGCATCACATAAAACACTTTGTAAACTCAGTATGTACTCTGAGACCTTCAGAAAAGCCCTCTTCTGTTGAGGAATTGCATTGTAGTCAGAAGAGGTGGAGGATCTCTGGATTATTCTCTCTCAACTTCAGTAAAACAAGACACAGTGATGAGGACCGGGAAAGTATCAGGAAATAATAATGTCATTTGCTTATCCCACTTCTATTTGGATTTGCTTAGAATATAATTCAGAAAAATCTTTACTTGTAAAGTGTGAAAGGTACATAGATCTGGTAAATCTCATGGTCCACAGTCAGTTTTAGTCACTTTCAAAGAAGATTAGTATTTAATTGCCACTACTTGGTAGTGGATAGTGGTCATTAACACAAATTCAGTAAAGGGCCTGATTTGAAATTGCCCTTCTGTGAAGATACTAGCAGAAAAAGCTGTATCTGGGACTTCGAAAAAATACCAGGTATTAATGCCTAACTTGACACAGTGCTTTAAGAATCACAGCAGGGTAACCTCAAGGAGATTTTTAGACTGAAAACAGGTACCTGTAACAATCTTATCCAATTGCGGTGCTTCATTCTGACTAAAAATCAATTAACAAGGGAAATATGTAATTTTTCTGAATTGTGCCAAGCCTGCAAACTAATCTTGAATGAAAAGACAGGCAGTGTTACTTCCTAGTAGCTCTTGATCAGTTAATTGAAGCCTGCACTTGCAATCTTGCTAGTACTGGTACCTGTGGTGGGGTTGCATAACTGATACACCAAAAAGTGAATCTGACAGTGAAGGAGGAATCTGTTCTAGCTTATCCTCCTAGAGATAATTTGTTCCTGCCAGAAGGAAATATATTAAGTTAAACTGAAGGTTCAAACTATGCAAAAGGGTGGTAGGCCTTCTGGCAAGAGGTCTTTTCTGGCACTCTTACAGTAATTTTCATGTTAAGATGAGGTGGTCGAAGGAAGGAGCTGTTGTTACAGTAGTTCTTGTGATACTCTTTTGTAAGTGCTACCAGTAAGGTTCAGTCCTTCTAGGCTGGTTTGACCTCACGTCTCAAATATTACACTTGTTTGCAGGATAATGATGAACTATGAAAAATTAAAATCACGCCTGGGTGAGATCCATGATAGTAAAATGCGCCTGGAACAAGATTTGAAGAAACAAGCTCTGGACAATAGGGAGACTGATAAGAAAATGAATAGTATCAAGCCTGACCTCATTCAGCTCCGCAAAATCAGAGATCAGTATCTTGTGTAAGTAAGACCTGTACCTCAGAATAGTGTCTCTGATAAACCTGATTAATGGCTGTTTCCATCAGGATAATGGGAATTTAATTTTCTTTTCATAACCAAAGTTCTGTGAATGCTAAGGTACTACATTCTGGCATGGGATGTCTGAGTAATTGGATGGCGTCTTCATGACTTCATTACCTGAGCCTGCCACAACTAGGTGCACATTCTGGAACTCCTGTAAATAAAACATTTAAGATGAATGAGTTATAAACAAAACCTGTGCCTGCAAATGCAACGGAAGTTAGTACTTTGTGCTAGGTGTGGCAGAAGTTGCTTGATTTCACTGACACCCCTGTTATGCAGCTCCTAACATCCTTGGGCTGGACTGAGTGCACTAGGATTCTGGCAGAAGACAGAGGTAAACACTGTCTCAGAAGGTGATGTTAGGGGGTTAGAAGAAGCCAGTCGCAATACTCATTTTGTTTTCCCAAGAGAAACAGGCAGCTCTCACGACTGCTATTCTGCTTCATTTCTGGACTGCACTGTGCAGAGCAGTATCTCCTCCTCAGCTCAGTCCTCCTCTTTCTCAATTTAAGAGGTTGCTTTATGGCTCCTTTTTGCTGTGTCCAGTAAAGGAGGCATCTCAGAAGATGATGCAAGGAAGCAGTCTTATGGAATCTATGGTCTTTCTATGGCTTTTGCTACTGGAGAACAAACTAAGCTCCAGACTGTTTCTTTGTGGGACCTTGTGTCTGAGCTTCAGCTTGCTCAGTAAGAAAACCTGTACATGTACTCTGAAGTAACGTATGAATGCTCTCTTCTTCTGGCAGATGGCTCAATCACAAAGGGGTGAGACAGAAGCGAATAAACGACTGGCTGGGGATCAAAAATGAAAATATTGATGAGTAAGTGTCACTATACATATGACTTTACTGAGAAGTGTTCCATTAATAAGTGTTTTTTCTTGCGGTGGTTGATAATTCAAAACACTAGTTTCTCAGTAAAGGAGTGTAGAAAAAGGAAGGACTGCAGAAAAAGGGAGAAACTCTCTAGGGAAACTTTGTCATGTGAGGCAGCAGCAACTCTACTGAAACATTTAGGATTAAACAAAGTTGGAACAATTAAGTTCTAAGTTGAAGCCTTTAATATATGTCCATTAGGAGCCTGACCTCCCAATTTGGGTGTGTTCTGGTATTTCTTTGAATGAGTTCTGCAAAAATAATCACGCTGCTTATTAACTCCTTTACTGGCCACTGGTGAAAACAAATTCACCCTCTCTTTCAGCGCGTACTTTGTGAATGAAGAAGATGAAAACCTGCCACATCACGATGAGAAAACTTGGTTTGTTGGGGATCTCAACCGTATCCAAGCAGAAGACTTGCTCTGTGGGAAACCTGATGGAGCGTTTTTAATTCGCGAGAGTAGCAAGAAAGGATGTTATGCTTGTTCTGTGGTGTAAGTCTGTTTTCCTTTTTGTTCTATCTACTCAATTCATAAATCTCTACCACAGCTCTTTGTTTTGGAGAACAAAAGCCAGGCCTAGCCTAGGCCTACCCATTGGAATGTGTTGCATGTTTGCAGGAAGACTAGCATGGTAAAAGCTTTGTTGCAAAAATGTGCTTTGAATGTGCAATAACTGTAGTCCTAGCAGTCTCTTCAGTCACCACAGTAGCTAGGACAAAATATGAAATATCCCAACCTTGAAGCTCTACAGTCATAAGTAAATTAAGGCCAAATTTTCCCCTATTCTTCCCTGCCAATGAACACATGGGAAGAAGAAAAACGGGGCTGTAAAGCTGTAACATCTTCTCATTTTCAGACATGCCCAACTCTAGATGCTTTCTCTTGTACATTTAAGATAATGCTAATGCTTCAGAGGAGACATTATTTGTGAGCAGTAGTTTTTAATGACATTCACACAGCCTTGCATTGATTTCTTGTGTTTTACTTCATTTTATGCTGGTGTAATGGAGGTCAGAAACACTCTGATTCCATTATCTAAAAATCCTTCAAGCCTGTTCTGGAGTGCAAAATGGCTTTCACTGATTTATTTCATGTGAGGTTAATTGCTTCTGAAAGCAAGTCTGAAGAATTAATATGTGAAGGTATATCACCTCAAAGTAACTGAAGATTGTAGTATCTGCTATTTTCAAGATACTGTTTGTCACAGCGACTGAAGTGATGGGTTCCTCAGATACTTTCACTTGGTTGGTATCATACTACAAGCTAGCAAAGGGATGGCATAATGTAACCTGTTCCTACATGTGACTTGGATTGTAATAGGCTCCAGTACAAGGATTACATAATGCTCGATCTTTCTGTCTGATAAGTTTTTCTAGCAGCTTTGGAAATACTGTGTTGCAGTAACTGCTCTGCCAAGTTAGGGACTCAGTCACTATGACTTCAGATAATGAACCACTTGAACCCATGCCATGCCTAACATTAAAAAATGCGCACTGAAGGTTAGTGCTGCATTTCATGAAATACTCTGTGGGTCCTAAGAATTTGTGGGTGATTTTTGGCTTCTTCAGTTACTGGAAAGGTTTCCAGATAAGTTGAGCACAAAGTCGTTGCTAACTTCAGGTGCTTATCTTCTTGGTTAAGCTCATGACTTTTTTTTTTCCAAGAAATGTTCAGAGAACAATGCAGTAGGGAATTGTACTGCTGGGATAGAAGAGGCCTCTTATGTGGATTATTATGCAAGAGTGTTTAATCATATGCCCTGAAGCACTGTTTCTTCACAGACTATATTAATCTCCTCTACTTGCATCTACTGGGTCCTCCATTATGTAATTTGGTGACTGGCAGGGTTGCTGCATTAGTTAATTGTTAATAGACTGTCACTTTGGGTTTGTCCTTTGATGTTAAGCTTCCCTGTTTCCTTTCCTTGCAGAGCTGATGGAGAAGTGAAACACTGTGTTATCTACAGCACTCCAAGAGGTTATGGCTTTGCAGAACCGTATAACCTGTACAGCACACTTAAGGATTTGGTTCTTCACTACCAGCAGACATCCCTTGTCCAACACAATGATTCCCTAAATGTCAGGCTTGCCTATCCTGTCTACGCACAGATGCCTCCCTCTCTCTGCAGATAAATTTTGGGGAGGAGGAAAGTATTGGCTGTCCTGGATTCTTTTCTACAATTTTTATTAGAACTTGGAGGGCATTCTTTCTCCTTAGACTGCTTGTTTTGCACAAGAAGTGATTCTGTGAATGTGAATCAAAAAGAGGCCTAGCAGCAACAAGACGACAACTTGGGTGTAGGTGTCCTGGTGCTACCTTAAAAGCTCAGCTGTGCTTTTACACCAATACTTTTGTTTCCTTATGAGGGGAATAAACTCAACACAACATACACAAAAATACTGGAAGCAAACCATCGTTTTCTGGAGATAATGTTTTGCCAGGCACCTTCAGTGGAACTTCTAATTGGATTTTGTTTTCTCTTCTTTGTGTAGAGGCAATTTGAAGCCTCTGTTTGAGGCATCAGTAATGTCTTTCAGTCTTAAACTCCCAAGAAACCAGGGGGGAAACTCTACCACAGCAATTCTTCTCTGTTAATTTTAGCAGCTTCACTGCGATTCAGCCGAACTTCCAAAAGAGGGCTTGTCTTGAGGTAGCATGGAATTTGGTGAGAGAAGACCAAAGGAATTATGGGAAAGCTTCAGGTTTTTATTTAAATGGAAAAATGCTTGTAAAGAAAAGTTGCTTTATTTTTTTGCCAACAGTAACAAAGCTTTGGCTTCAGTGGCACTACAGGTCTTCACTTAAAGAAAACATTTATAACCAAATTGAACATGCCAAAACTTTGGTCGTTGCTAGATTGAGCACTCATGGGGAAGGTTGCATTAGCATCTGCACATACTCTCTACACCAAAACTTGAAACAAATAAAAGGAAAAGCTAAACATTGTGTGGCTTCAAAACACTAAATTTGTCTTATCTGATGTAATTGCTCACTCTCCTCTTTCTTCACCCCTCTCCTTCCTCCCATTCCTCAGCTTGGGTTTCTTTTTTTCAGTTTTTAATGATACTGTGCTTCAGAATGTAAACTAGAATGAAGCTTGCACTCACCTGTTGCAGTTCTCTTGCTGACCAATGACAGACTCGTGTAATGCTTGATTTTGGTATAGAAGAGGTAGGTGCAATCGAATGCTTCTGGATGGCTTATTGTACCAAATTCTTTCATGAGATGTAGTCACTTCCAGTTGTAGAGAAGTGAGCACACTAATTATAGAACTCCTCTGATTTGTTCTTTGTAAGCTGGGTTCTGAACTCTCACACCACTGCAGCCAAACAAGATTTTACACTGGTATAATCTAAATTCCCGTGTAGTTAATTTGGACATGATGGAAAACACAGGAAGGGAAGAGCACTATACTCCTCAGTTATTGGATGTCTGGTACCATCCTTTGGCAAGGGCTGCTGTCAAATACTGGAGTGGGTAGTCCTGGACTTCACCAAGTATAGCAATCATCCAACAAATCCCCTCCCTGGAAAGTATACAAAGAAGCTTATTTCCATTCCTTAAGCTTCTCAAATGAAAAAGAGCTAAGTTTGGCAAACTGAATCACTTGGCATCAAAGCACAACTGGCAAAGCAATTGTTCAGTGTGCAACCTTGAAAGTTAGTTTTGTTCCTATTGCTGGAAGCAGTTGCCTTGCAATGCACCCATTGTGCAGGACAGGAAGCAGACAGTCATGCAGGGCTGAGAATGCTCTAGACCTGTGTCTGACCCTGGGACTGATTTCCTGTTCAAATGGGGTTTTTTCTATAATGCCTGGGCAGTAGTGCCAGGCTTGTTGATGTTTAATATTTACACTTGAAGTATTATTTTGCTGACTGTCATGAATTTGCAAGCAGGGAAGTTGCAAGGCTGGAGCACTGGCAGCAGGAAGGGTAGTCTGGTTGCCTGGCATGCCTGTGGGATGTTTTGTTTTGCACTAATGACCCTGACACATCCCAGGCACTTTCTAATCAGCCAGACTGCAATCTTCACGCAAAAAAATCTGTAGATGCAACTTTTCTAAGTAAATGAAACACTATAAAACTTAACCAAAACTGGGTGAGAGGAGAAGGAAATTCATGCAAGCTACTATGTCGAAGTGACCCACATCTGCTCATTTGTCCCTTCTCTCCCACTTCCCCAAGATAAAGGAAAAACAAGATGCAGCCTTTGCTCGTAGTGAAAATCTGGAATGGATTCTTCAGTGGTATATGGACATGGAAATTTTTGGTTTTAAACCTTTTGGTTTTGTTTTTATACCTTTTGGATAATTTGCTGTTCTAATCTGGTAGCTGTAAAGCTGTCATTCTCACACCTCTTGTGCATCTAGCATTGCCTTGGTGCTGAGCTGAGTCCAAATGCCTGATGAGGGAAATCAGTTCAAAGGCACAATTGATAGCCCGGTGCCTCATGCCTGTGGAAAGACCTGTGTGTGAGGAGTGTCTGATTGTTTTCTCTGCCTTTGCTGGGCTCTCCTCTTGCAACGTTAACATTTGAGACTGATGTGGCATGTGTTTCTGATCCCTGTTTTCGTGATCGGGACAACCTGGCTGAAGGGTTTCACATCTGCCCCATTTTTAGATAGGGCTTGGTTTTGTTTTAAACAAGCACAGGTCTGCTTTCAGGCTCATAACTCCTGGCACACCCTTACAGTACTGACAGCAGCAGGATAGCAAGGCGGGACTCTCTGAAGTTTCCCTGTAGTGGAATCTGACTGATCCTGTGAGGTCTTGGTCCAGGCTCTGGCTCTGCCAAGGTAAATAGAGTGTAATTCCATTGGCGTCCGTGAACGTAGCCTGGCTTTATAGTGGTGTGTGTGAGCTGGGATTCTGGCCCCTCACTCCCCAAGATCTCTTTGCTGATCGCAGGTGATGTATTTGCTGCGAATGATGCACTCGGAGCCAATAAGCCATCTTGAAGCATTCTTTGAAATTCTGTTTTGCCCAAACATTTGGATCGGGACTATGAGCCGACTAAGCCCACGTTGCTTGTACGTGGCTCCGTTATCCTCAGCGGTCTCTCTGAGGCTGTGTTTTGCCACTGTATCTCCCTGTGTTTGGTTTAGGCATCTGAAGTCCCAGCTGCCACGATTGCTCCCCTTTGCCTCATGTGCCATTGCACAGATTCTTTTTGCATCTGGTTTGCACTCGTAGGGCAAATGAAAATGGATATAAAACCGACTGACACGTGCAGCTGATGTGATCCATGGGGCAAGGGCTTGGTCCTCCTGCGCTCATTGTGCTCGGCCTAATTCTGTTTGCTCGGTAGCATTAGACCTGTGAGAGGACCCACGGCTTCAAGGAGCTGTTCTGCACTTGCATGACTGAGAAATCAGAAATGGGGCTGTGAGGTGCAGGATTACACCCTAGTATGAAGAGCAGCTGTTAAGCCTAAAACAAATACAGGAAATGTGAACAAAAAGGCAAAACAAAGGGACTCAAGTTCTTCTAAAACAGTAAGATGTGAGAAGGTTTTGGTTTCAAGAGTCAAAATATCAGGAGGAAGGGGGGAAATAGCCTTGCTGTTGTAGCAGCCATCTGTTAGCAGACTGCAGTTAGGGGAGTACTGGTCTCATTGACCCATATTGTATTAAATATATATGTAGAGTTAAATAAATAGCTTTTGCACAGTGTTAAATGGAGGCGGGGAGAATGTTGAAACTCGAATATGTACAGTTTCTTCTAACCTGTTTTGAAATATATTTGCAGGGATCAGGGGTGATTCAGTATTTTGTCTTCAAATGGATGGAAATCAGGTCTACTTCCACAGTTGCCATTGGCCCTATTGCATCAGCCACGAGTGCCATGTTTTTGAAGTTAGTAAGTTACAAATCTTTTCCCATTTGTTTATTGATTGCAAATAATCTTAGCATGGGAAGAACCAAGCTAGAAACAGAGGGATGTCCTGACAGATGCTTCACTAGCATGTGAAGCAGTAAGATGTGATTGTCCACCTTCTGATACTGGAGTGCTCTAGATTTGGCAGTTGTATTTTGGGAGGTTTTTTTAATTCTCATCAGCAGTTGATTGGGTTGCTGCTTTGCACTGTTGGTAGTTGCAATCTAGAGTTATAACCAGTACAGTGTGCAGTCTTATGCCAAAAATGAAATGCTCTTTCCACACCCACCTCTCTTGATGTGGCAGGTGGTCAAGAAGTTTTCCATTTATGTGATGGGCCTGATTCTTTTCTCACTGACACTAGTGTAAGCAAGAATTCCACAACCAAAAGCCATTCCCGGGAAAAGAGCTTGTGTGTAATCATACCTGAATTCTAGTCACAGCAGGGCAAAAATCAAAGTTTGTCCTTTGCAAAGCCAGGCAACTGTAATGGGGACCGTGGAAATGAATGTTGACACTTAGTGCTGTTCTGGAGAGGGCAGGGGAAGGAGGAGGGTCCTGGTTGCCTCAAATTGTGGGCTCTCTGCAGGCTTGAGTGGCACCATGTCCCTAACTGAACGCTGTGGCTATTTAAAACAGCAGAATTGCTATAGGAGTGTCACAACTTAAGCTTGGAAAAGCCCCTTATTTGGTACTTGAACAATCTCGCTTCTGTTTTTGAATGTCTGTTTATTTTTTATTTTTTTTTTTACACTAACAGGGAATAAAAATCTGAAATGTTAGTGAGTCTTGTATGCTTGCTGCATTGTGCAGACATGAAACAGGTACTGTTTATGGATCGGGAGGGTAAGAGACAGGTTCAAAATGCAGTTTTACAAAGCACTATGATGGGTTGGGGGTTGTTTTGTTTAGATCACGTTTAAAATCAGATTTTCTTATGTGTAGTTTCCTTATGTTGATTTGCAACCTCTGCTTTTGGAACAGCAAAATCAAAACGTTCCTGAAGAACAAAGATACTCTGAGGGGAGAGGGGTTAGGCTTGCTTAAAGTCAGCATTCAAAGCAAATCGCTTTAACGAAGAGGAAGGGTCAGCCTCCTAAAGCATCCCTCTGGTTGTAGTTCGATGAAGCAGTAGACAGACCATGAAGTAGGACATCTGCCTTGAACCATGAAAGAAAGAGGAGATGCCAGAGCAGACCCTTCCCTTTGAGATAATCGGTTGTACTCTCCTTAAATGTGCATGCAGGGAGATAGGAAATTAATAAAAGTCCTTAAGGACTTGCTCCTTTTTCTGTATTGGAAGGGAACTTGCATTGCTGATCCCCTCGTTTCCCTTGGCACAACCCATGCAGCCAGGAGAAGGGAACTGAGTTACTAGCCCAAATAAACATGGGCCTGTTCGTGAAGCAGCTCGGCTAGTGAAGTACTGCATGAGGAGTAGCTTTGGATGGGGTTAGATGAATTTTGTCCAACATTCTTGTGAATCTTGCGTTCTGTGGGCAGAAATACTTTCCACCGAATGGGGGGAAAAAAAAAAAAAGTCTCTTGAAATCTTTTCAACTCCTTCCTGTTTGTTCACAGGGGCAGATAGGGAGCTTTAGCCTGTTAAAGCACTGTTTAGATGATGACAGTGCTTGAAGTGCTGGTCTTTGGGGCTGGTTCCATACAATTAATGCATAATTTGCATTTTTTTTTATTGCTATTGGCATAGACTCACCATATTTTATGACTGGACTCACCATTTGTTCCAAAATTTGCCTTTAAAAAATGTAATATGAGCTTCAGAGGCAAAAAAAAAAAAAA